TCAGGGTCTCATCACAATGTCTGTCTTTTCCTAGGAGAGAGACTACCACAAAACTTGGAGACTTCTATTCTGTCAAGCTTTATGTATACTGGTCACAAGGTTTTTAGGCTTCTTTACGAGGGGAGAGGAGGAACACAGATAAATACATACTCATCATGCCTGATGGCATAATTTTGTGTGTTTAGGAAACTAGGCTAAAAGTACAGTAGCTCAAATGAACAGTATTTGGATTAAGAAAGAGGCATTATTTAATATGGTTGGTTTATCTTAGGGGAATCACAACTACTTTAACCTGGTAATTAAACCTTGAATTAAAATTTATGAGAATTTTGCTGGAATAAGGCTTTCACATGAGTGACTTTAGGGAACAGACAAGAAAAGGATACGCCTCTTTCGCAGATAAGACAGCAGCATTTCTTCAGGATCAGCATTTTTCTCTATTATCTGCAGTAAGAAATTAAAAACAAGGTTTAAATAAGAAACCAAGGCTTTTCAAAATGCAGTGCACAGACTACATTCCCACAAAGCCAGAAGAGAATCATTCTCTGGTTCCTTCTCATAGAACTAAACTAACTGCCAAACACTGCAGGAGAGTTTGGGCTGCTTCTGGAAATTCCTTCTCAGGCAGACAGGTTTCCAGAAAAGAAGTGTCAGGGCACCTTGCAACTACTAAAAATAACTTGCTCAGTGAAAGGCTACACTGAGGGAACTGACCTTTGGCCATAGTAGAAATAAAAATGCATCAGAACTTTGCTACAATAACAACAGCATAAAGAACTAATGATTTGCATATTTTAAAGTCTCCCTGGCACTTCAACGCACTGCAATGATCTTTTAAGGCTGTCAGCAGCAACAATTTCCTTTCTAGCTTTATTTGTAAGAACTTTTACTTGCTGTAATCATCTGACAACAGAGCAACAGGAACATCTACATTCTTGATCAAGTAAAGCATTTCTTATTCTGTTGCTTAGAATCAGCTAGTCCCTTATAGTTGCTTTGGATCAACAACCAGTCCTTGCAATATTATCTTTATGGTCAGTAGTCCATGTTTTGGCACCAGAGTGTTGTTGACTTTCAGTTGTGCCTCTGAAAATCTGATACCATCAAAGATGAGAAGCCAGACATATAAATGAAAAAATTAGACTGCTTACCAGCCAAAATTGATACCCAGCTGAAAGTGTGTTTCACTTTGACACGTTTTTTCCCCCAAACACAGGAGAAGTAGTCAAAATGAGATGAAACCATGGCTATTCTGGAGGCTTGTGTGAGGATTCAGTTATACTCCCATGAAGAAGTCTGAGGAAGCCAAATCTGTGCCCACACCCTTCGAGGTTCCTTCTGGCACAGCAGCCCCTCTTTCTCCACACTCTTTCCGGGCAATACTTACCTTCCTCCCATTCACATAGAACACGAGCTCCTCAGCCGCCGCTTCCCCTTGCGGAGCCATCGTGCCCAGTCCCGGAACCAGCGGAGCCCGGGCAGCCGGAGCGGCCTCGGCAGCGGGGCGGGGCAGCGGGGCGGGCAGCGAGAGCAGGGTCGCTCGGAGGGCGACACTGACGCTGTGAAACGTTGGGAGGCTCTTATAAAACAATCTCCTAGGCTAGTTTTAAATTGTGATAAAGTCCAGCAATGTAGTGATCATGAGCCCAATGGAATTCTTGGTTATATATGCATTCACAAAGTAATTGTCAGTAACTTCCAGGTATCAAAACCATTTTTAAGGGCTACTCGTGCAGGCAAGGGTTTATAGAAACATAAATATTTTCCGCTTTCTGTATAATCTAAATATATAGAATTAATTTCCTACAAAATTTAAACCAAAATTTTTTATAGCTGGCAAACTAAAATATTAAATGAAAAAAAATCAGATTGAATAAGCATGAGAAAAAAGCAACTTTGAAGCTATAAAGAGAAGTTCAAATTACCTTATCCTCAGCAAAATTATCTTAATCCCTGCTGATGGCTACAGATTGGTTTTTATCTCGAAAATTGTGTGCTGTTTATACATCTTTTGCCTGGAAAGAGCTTCTAATATATCAAATGATCTGGTGAAACAAGCACATTTAGTGAAGATGCAAAGGCAATGTGACATTCTTTATGCTGCATTTATGTGATCATTTTGGGGAACAATTAAAAGAAATGCATCCTAGAAAACAACAAAGTGAATTTTCTCTGTGTTCTGTTATAGAACATTAATTTGAACAGCAAGAAGAGTAAGAATGGAGAAAGCAAGGGAAGGGCAGTAGCAACCATAATATGATTTTAGAGTTACTTAAACTGACTTCTGGGCATCTTCAGGTCATTTTCTTTATCCTTTTTTTACTTCGAAAGACACCTATACTAAAAGAAATGGAAGAAATGAGGGCATAAAGACCTAGGCCTTATACTTTTATTGAAAATTACATGCTTATATTTGGAACACCCTAGCAGTGCAGCTGGTAACACCTGATGCTGTGTGGAACAACAGGACTATCACTCAAAAAATAATTAAGACCATCTCCTAAAATATTATTTATTTTCTGGGAAGATGAAGCATGTGCTTCTGTTTCTAGCTTTCAAACTGCAGGCAATAGAGAGCAACAACCACTTAAAAAACCACTGTGTTTTGCTGCTGTAGTGCCAGCACTGGGAACACAAGCTGTAAAAACACTTCTTTGGGATTTCTAATGACACAGCCAGTGATGCTGACAAATAATGGAAACTAGCAAGAACATTTCAATTAAAAAGAAAACAAATTAATTACGAACTTGGTAAAAAAAAAAAAAGACAAGGAAAAAATGCATAAAAATTTCTATGGGTAATTCCTTTTAAAATAACATTGGATCAGGACAGAATCTATCTTCCCAACCATTTCTGCAGCTCTTCACAAGGGTCTTGCTAATGTGGTGACATACACACCATGCTTCAGAAAGAAAAAGTCTATTTGCTTAAACTTTTCAGATTAATTTTAACAGCTCTGTTTTGCCATGCAGATCACATTGCCTGGATAATAAGGCAAGTTTTTTATTGGAAAAATTTTCATACTGATTGAATACTCTTTTTTCCTGTGAGGTTCTGTGTGAAAACATCTTGCTGTCCTTATTGCTGTGCATTTACGATCTTTGCATGGTCTCTGGAACTGGTGACCACAGCTAGACAAGCTCTCTGTTTAGGGGATAAAGGTCCTTACCTCCTAGTCCTGCATTTAACTCCAAATTCATACATGGAATGTCCTACAGGATCTTGGGAAGCTGCCTTGGGGTTACAGACTGTAATAAAAAAAACCACAACGGAAAACAGTTGTGGTATTACTGAAGTATTTGTAAATAATACTTTTGTGCCTCGGTGTTTATGGTGATAGCTCTTACATGTAGAACAGACATACTTGAAAACTACATCCAGGAATATATTTTGGTATTCAGGACTCACTTTTCTGTCAAAATATGCAGCTGAAATTCTGGAGAATTTCTTCTCACAGGAGAAGGATGTAGGTTGCTCTTGTTGAACTTCTTGAGGTTCCTCTTGGCTCATTTCTCCAGCCTGTCCAGATCCCTCTGGACAGAACCATCCAGTATTTCAGCCACTCCTTCCGGTTTTGTATCAACTGCAAATTTGCATAGGGTGCACTCTGCCTTGTCGTACAGGTAGTTAATAAAGGTGTTAAACAGTGCTGGCCCCACTATAAAACCCTAAGGAGCATTAGTGTTTTGCCTCCAGCTGGACCACTAATCATAACCCCTCTGGGTTTTCAACCCCCCTCACTGTGCACTTAACACATCCTTTCTCAGCTTGTTTGTGGAATGTTATCAGATATAATGTCAAAAGCCTTACTAAAGCTGAGACAAACAACATTTACTGCTCTACCTCACCCACCAAGCTAGCTGGAGAAGACCATCAGGTTAATAAAGCCTCATTTCCTGTTTGTAAATCAAAGCCAGCTATTACCAATCACCTTCTTCTCTCTAACATGTGTTAAAGGACTATTTTCTCCATTAGCTTTCCAGGTTACAATGAAATCTACAATGAAGTACAAAAAGTAAAGTTTTTAAGAACGTTTCTAAGCATATATTATAAATTTTTAAGAATATGTATCCTTAAGCATATATAACAAATTTAAGAGTAGCAGTTACACTTAAAAAGAGACGTACTGTATAAGACAAAAGGTCTCCCTAACCAAAGAACTGGTCTCTGAAAGTTTCAACAGTGAATGCCCTTGGGAAAAGTATAAAAATTGGTCAAATGCACAGTAAGGCTTCTCTAGGATTCTCTTCCAGCCTTCAACAATTTGCAATTCAGAGACATCCTGTGCCAGAATGGTGTTTCTGGTAACTCCTCATAGGTTTTTCTTCTATTAATGTGTCTGATCAATTTTTAAGCTGATGTAAACTAGTAACATCTAGTGCATACTGCGTGAGCAACCACCATCTCTAACCAAAATAAGTTAACTTACTTGTAACTCATTAAAAACGAGCTCTGGCTATCTTTGTTGCAAAATTAACCTGAACCTTACCCGTTGTAATCTGTAAAAGTTGTGTGGGCTGCGAGCTGTAGCCTGCAGCTGGCAGCATCTGCAAATGAGGTAATGACAGAAAACTGTTTGTCTGCTGACAGCTCATTATGGAATGCAGAATGTTATTCATGAGAATTCAGGGGGGAAGGAGTACAGGGCACTGACAGCTGAATGGTCAGTGTGGTTGTATTAGTCATCACACTAGCACTCTCAGTTGGAAACTCAAGGGGTTGCTTTGTCTGGATCCTATTCCCTGTTGAATTTCCATTGCAGTGATCTTCCTGGCTGCCTCTGGCATGTACTCTGGACACTAGACTTCTCTCCACTATTCCTCAGTGAGACTTCCTTATTCAAATTTCAGTATGATTCTGTCAAATCCCAAAGTCAACTATCAAAAAAAAGGGACTGTCTCCATCTATTTCAATAAATTTATCAAAATTTGGGATGCATGTGTCTGTTCCAAACAGCACTGAGAAATAGTTCTACTCAAAATAAATACGAAAAACTCACATTAAAATTCCCAAAGCTAGTTTATTTTCAATTTACATTAAAACATACACTTTTCTTACAATTTAAGAAGTGCTGCAAACACTTTGAAGAAATTATAAATTACTGACCAGAAATGCAAAACATGAGTGGAACCTAACATGTATATGCCTTCCTCAGTGAAGTATTCTGTGCCCTTTTTCAGAGGCTCTTTTTCAGAAAATTTCACTTTGGAAGAACTTTACTAATCAAAGAACAATAAGCACTCTATATTGCTAAACATATATATACACACATAAACAATTGTACCCATTTTAGAAGTATTGTTCATAAAGGCAATTCTTTTGTCTTCTTCAAATAAATTTTGATTTACTTTTAAAACTTGTTTTATTTTTTACTTTACGGACTGGGGAACACAGAAATTGCGTATCTGTAAACCGATCCCCACGCCTTAATTTGCTGTAAAGAAAAGAGAAAAAAGACATTGTGTATGAATATCATCAAGCACCTATGTAACTATAATAATGTAATTATAATAACAATTCAAATTAAAATAACTCAAGTGGTAAATACTCCTAATGAAAGCTCGATACACTGAAGAAATTAAATTTATGGAAAATAATTATGTCTGAAATAGCAAGGAATAGATAACTACTGCTTTCCAAAATAATTCTAAAAAGAGTAGTCTTTTTATGTGACCTCTGTCATATTAATGTGATATTCCTATAAGACAAAATTCAAAACTTATTTAAACAAAAAGCCTAACAGCACCCATTCAGGACAGTATAATTGCAGATAAAATATAAATCATCTGAAATCTTAAGTGACATCAACATTTTTTCTGTTATTAGTTACTGTCTCTCTCAGAAATACAGAGCCTTATCATTCTGGGGTAAAAGAGTGTCAATGTGTCAATATATAATATTATATATAATTAGCATTTTAGCATCTAAATCAATTAGTAAAGTAACAGTGTAACCCTAATCCCTTTCCATTTATTTTACAAGTTATCTGGTATAAACACTTCTGAATTGCCAGTGGTAAAGTGAAGACACTTCCTACATTAGTTTTAGCTCCTCCTTGTCCATAGACTCATTACTTCAAATTGTTTACTTACATAAGTAAAAAATATTTTAGGGTGTATTAGAACAGTGTTCTAAATTTTTTTCATTTTGTGGATTTGTTTTTTTTCTCCCATCACATTATTGCCAGAAAAGACAGGCATACTCTTTTTACACCTTTGTAATGAAGTAAGTAGCCATAACCCTTTCACTTTCAACACTGTTACAGGGAAGCCTTGATACGATCTTTACCTCATGAATACTCTTCCTACTAATATACACACAACACAGCATAACCATTCCTCAAATCAATATTATACTTTCAAAAAATCCAGAATATTTTTAGAAGTAATCAACTTAAAAGTCCATTTAGATTTAGATCTATTCATGTAAGTGCAAATAGATTAGTTTTCTTAATGGAAGTTTGGCTTCAAAATCCTCTTTTAAATTTTAATAGTTATTATGTCTTGTCTTTTAACAATCTCAAAAATCCTGTGCCACTAAATTTGCTATGAACAATGAGAGGCAAATGAAGTATAAAATTAATATAGCTAACTAATATAACAAATTATCAAATTTATATATCTTAAATGATTTCTTATATTAGATATAGCTACTTAGAGGAAAACTACTGAATTATACAATATTAGCGCATAAATTTTCTTTCCACTTGACAATATTACAAGGATATTATTATGGTATAAGTTTACCTTTAAGTATAACATTTACAATTATCCACATCTAAAGGGGTTTATATAATGATAAACATTAAGAGTCACTATTGTTCATTATTACTACAGACTATATTTTGAGATTTGAATACTGTTGTTGTCTTACTTTGGAACTTGGAAATCCTGCCACACAGGAGAAGTTTGATACCAACACTGAAGTATCTTTGCAAAAGAGATCTGTGACAGGCTATTAAATCCCCAAATAAACAGCTGAACTATCTTTACTGGGGACAGTTACACACTCAAAAGGCAAACAAAAGCCCCAATCTATTTGCCCTCACCTACCTGTGTAGACTGGGTTCTTTGTAGCAAATAGTGGGTCTTCCTCGTCTGGATGGTGCTGCTGAGTTTTCTTCCAAAGTTTTGGGGGATTTAGGTACAAAAGCGTGAGATTGTATACCAGTATTTGTCAGATCTTGGAAAGCCTTTCTCCCTGTAAATACAGTAGTTTATATGCCTCATTTTAAATATTTTCTGAATAATTAAGTAAACTTTCAATTAATAATTATTTTTCATAGGTATTTCCTAATTCAGGTACTTTGGTTACTGCTCCTACTACAGACACTCAACACAAACTGGTAAAAACAACCAAAGAAAATGCCACTACAGCACCTTTCAATAAATTTCGAGCTGTTTGAGGTCTGCCATGGGTCATGGGACGTTTCAGGAAGCCCCATGAGCACTGCAGTTTGCAGCTGGCAGCTTAAGACTCCCTAAGTTACTGCATTTAAAAAAGTAAAACTGCACACAGCTCATGGCCTGGAATGCAGGGGGAGGGTGTACATGTATAATCTGAAGAGTCAAATTGTACAAGAGTTCTCCAGTACTGAATTTTCCAGCTTTATGGGTGCTTTTTGGGCATATGTGCACAAAATGAACATAGCAATCTTTCAATTCAAGATAGGGATTTGGATGTAGGATGAAAAATTAACTAGGTTTTGAATTATACTTAAATGGATGAAGATCAACTAATTAGCTTGCTTTTTATGTCAGCAGTCTTTGATACCGGTACAGTTTACTAATTTCTCAGTAAAGGTAAAAAAATTATGGGATCCACTTTCCAAAGAAGGAACTGAAGATGAGAAGATACAACTAAAAATTACAGACTGATACCTCACACAATTGTCAGTATTTGCCTGATAGTTCAGAATTCAAATATTAATCTGAGCTAGGATACTTTCTAGGTGTTGGGATTTTCTCAGACACAATGAAGTAAACAGGAACTTGTTGAGAACAAGTATGTTTACAAAATAGCCCCCTAATGCTACAAAACTGCAAAGCTACATTTGAAAGTATATATAAACTCTTGCATAGATGCGTTACTCATATATTCCTTTAGCTCCTTTACAGCAATTTTACTTCTGATGGAAGAATCTACACCCATCTTCCAGACTACAATGTTTGATTATTTTCTTAATTTATCTTATTTTAAAAAAGAGGTTGTCATATCAAAGTTTGCTCATGGGCAGATTATAGAAAAAACCTACTCAACATACTTTTGTTAGATATGAGAATTCCTGTTGAATTGCAGTGTTTCTAAAGAAACACAAATGAATTCTTTAAGAAGTCCAGCTACGTTCTCCATTTATAAAGGGAATAGTTAGTTCCCTCTTATCTCCCTTGTATAAAGTCTCAAGCTACTAGATCTTTTCAATCCCCAGCTTTCTGAATTCCATGACATTCCTTGAAAATTGAATACATGCTCCAACCAAAATTGCTTCTCAAGAATATAGACTATTTACATCTGTCCTACTATAATCTTAGGATATATTGGGAAGTAACAAGGATATTAGTTACCACAATTAAAAAAAGATATTGAGACTGAGAGATGAGATGGAAAATGCATAATTTTAGTGATTTTCCTTCTTACCTTTTCCAATGTTGTTTTATCCACTCTAATCAAGCAATGACTAGAACAGTATTAAGAGAAGACATGTAAACACTATTTCAGGCACTACCTAATTAAAAAAAGACCATTTTTTTCCTAGCCCATACACTTACCATGACAAGGTGTCAGAACATTTTTGTAACTCTCTTTAGAAATATGGTCCAGATTTTGTTCTGCTTTTTCAGCATTCAGTACTTCATTATGATCATTTTCCCCATGGATTTCAGAGTCTTTCAGGATGGAGAAGTTGACAGAAGCATTTTGGTTATCAAGAGCTGGGAGCCACACATTGGAAAGACCTTCCTGGGAAAAGCTATCTACATTTAATGACATATTCTTAGAACATTCAACTTGAATAATAGGCTTTAATTTACTCATAAAGGAACCTATTTCATGAGGGACTTCCTGATCATCCAAAGTATTCTGCCTGCCCAGATCAGTAGGCCTGAAATAACTTTTTTCTTGTCTGGTCTCAGTATTATCAGAACTAAATCTCTGTTTCTGCTTTACCTGATTACCAGAAGAATTACTAATGGGGAGGGGTTTAGTTGCCACTGCTGAGAAATCTGCTTTCTTTAACATGTTAGCATCATCATCAACTTGTTCTTTAGCTTGTGGTGTATTCAGAGCTCCACCATCCTGAGTAACTAAAGCTACTTGTGTTTGCTGAGTTTCTGTTACTTTATTTCCAGCCTCTGCATGCAATGAATCCTTATTTTTTAATTCTTGATTTTTACAAGCTGAGAACAGTGTAAGGTTTCCCTTTGGTATTATGTATGTTTTCCGGCCAGCCTTTGCCAATGTACGTTTTAATCTGCCTGGTGAACAAGGGCTGCTCTTTTGGCCTACTTTCTGACTAATTTTATGAATGCTGTCATTTGCACTTTCTCTACTTTGCCTGTAACTACTTTTTTTATTGTCTTTTCTCTTTATAATATTTTTATGGTTTTGTTTTGTCTTGCTGTCAAGTTGGTATATCTCTGTTTGAGATTTTTTTGAAATATATTCTTCATCCTGGCCATTTTCCCCTCCACAGGATTTTGCTGTGTTTGCTTTGGAAGGGTTTTGAAAAATTTTCCTATTTTTTGTTGGTCTGCTATCTTTCTCATTTGTATTTAGAAAGTCACCCTGTAAAGGAAACACCTTAGAATTATTATCTTGGGATAGCAAATTTTCAGTACAATAAACTTCTGGTGGGATCTTGTTAAGAGGCGAGCTTGAGTTTGCCTTTTGAATTTTGCTTTCCATGTCTCCAGACGTTTCTGAGAAAGTTTCTTCATTTGTCTCCTGTTTTCTTGGACTCACTACGTTAACCCGGTATATCCTCCTCCTATCTTTAGCTTTACTTGTTTTACACTGTTCCTCTGCAGAATCTCCTGTAGGTAGCTGTTCTGTCTGACTTTGGAATAGTTGAATTTCTGAGTCAGTAGTTTTTGAGGTTTCACTATTGTCAGCCCCAGCGTGCCTTTCTTCTGCACATAAATTTGAATCAACTTCAGTCTTGCTTTTGATTTTTTCTTTATCCTTCTTAGAATATTTTACCTTTCTGAACTTTGCTAATATTTTGTCAGAATTGGCATTACTAATTTTATTTTGGTGCAATTTATAATTGTCTTTTGCTGTAACTGTGAGTAGTTCACCAGCATCACTGGCAGTCAACTCCATATCAGCATCATAAAGTGTTTCTTCAGGCTTCAGCAGCTTCTTAAAATCTGTCTTACTTTCATTGCTATATTTAAGAGGTGAGGGAATCATGTGACACAAGTCATTTGAACCTTCCTGCAAATTTGTATCATTGGGGTTGCTGCCACTGTTGATACCCTGTTTAGGCAGATTCAATGACCCACATTTTTTATCAAAATCCTTTATATTAGTTTGAGTTTTTGACTTATGAAGCACTGCATGTTTCTTTCTTTCCGTCACATTTCCACAGGATGGCAATGAACTACCCTGATGCTGTTCTGTAAGCTCCTCAGACTGTCCTAAGGATCGTGTATTTCTGACATGAGTCACAAGGGCACTATTGCAACTTAATTCTGTGCATAGTTGATTTTCTGCAAAAAGAAAAAATTCAGCAGCTTAGTGAAAGAAAGAATAGAGTGTAGCTCTATAAAAATTACTCTCTGTAAAATTACTGAAGGTTGAACCACAAGTAGGAAAAAATAAAAATTTTCTTTTTTTTTTTTAACTGAATACACACATTCTGTGGTTGGTCCTCAAAAATTTAGTTAACTAGAGCTAATTTCGTATTTTACCAAAGTTGCACTTTTGAAATTGGACATAAATGGAAATATACTTTTCTATAACTACTTCAGTTATTATTTGGTTATCTTACAAAGGTTTTATTCTGTTCACATTGATTTTGTTACATTTCAGTTGTGCCATTTCAATGAACACTATTCCACAAGTGATTGTCAGGACACATATATTTATGGGTGAGCATTCTATTTTTCATTAGTTTTTACAGTTCAGGAATCTTACTATACCTTCTGTATTGCACATCAAGTAGTGAATTATTAAATATTAATTCTCAGAGAGCTCTGAAAAATAAATCACCTGTACAGAAATACATCATACCTTTAAAAAATTTATTCTTGTCAACAGCTGTTTCCACTGGATCTGTTTCAATTAACTTTTGATTATTTGTACCAGAAGGCAACGATGATGCAAACTTGAGTTGATCTGAATGCACTTCCTCTGACAAATTAGCGGTACACTTGTAGGAATTCAGTATTTCACCCAGAGAAGGGCTACCTTGCTGTTTTGCATTAGCTGTTTCAATTAAAGGAAGCCTCACTGGCAATTCTACAGATCTGAAAAGAGGAAATTTTACTGTGAAGATTTTTATTACATTTTCTAACATAATATTCTATTGTTAAAATGTTTCCTTAATAATGTATAAAAGCAGAAAACGAGAACTCGAGTATGAAACCTGGTTCTATCTTTGGGCAAATGTATTTTTGATGATAAAGAATCCTGCTTTGTGCTAGTGAGATCACATGAAGCAAGCAGCAAATTACTCAAATACAGGTTTTGTCTACCACTCTCTCCCTAAACTCCAAGTTGTAAAGAGGTAATGTCTGAATTAGACAGGAAATTGTTTCTCATTACCTCAAAAATACCTAGGACAATATACAGATTAGCTGTAAAAAAAAAAATCCACAGACACTTAACCAATAATATAACCTCCTACCTTGCTGACTGACGTGCACTCTTGAACTGGTCATCAGTAGGGCTACTTGGATCAGCTGACAGAGGAAAGGAACTCTGCAGATTCTTTCAAAAGAAGAACAGTGGGGAAGTACAAACAGTTGAATATTCTCTTACGTTTTAAGTATTGGAAATACTCAAAGGGGAAAAAAACCCAAAAATGAATGGGGGAAAAAATAGAAGCACTGATGGAAGGCACATGATTCAAACACAGGCAATAATTTTAAAGGAAAATACTTTGTAACAAAGTTCATCAAAATTCAAAACCTACTTGCATCCCAAAGCAATGTACAGACTTTTTCAGTGCAAACTGCATTATACATATAGAAGCACAGAGCAACACTAAACAACAGTTTAGAACAGAAAACGCAGTATTTTCCTTTTTTTAAAATTAATTGTAATTTTTCCATGAGACAAGGACTAACATGGACTATGTTTTCTGGTTAAGTTTCCACATGTAGGATATCTATTGCAGCACTAAGCAAGGAAGGCAGGTAGCTTGCTCACCATACACTGAAGTACTAAGTTTGAGCTAACTGATACTTAACTTTTAGATACTTTGTAAACCAGATTAAATCCTAAGCTTTCAGTGCAGCAAAATTTAATTTATTGCACTAGACCAGTGTTTCATCCCAAGTTTTAAAGAACTGGGATAAATGTTTTACAACACATATATATTTCAACATTGCACTCAATCTGATGCTTTGAAAATCTTATCATGCGAAATGAGTTCAATATGGTAATAGTTCAAAAAACATCTTACCTCAGAAGGACTGCTTATTTCTATTGCAGTTAAAAGGTGATCATTCAAAAATGCTTCTATTCCAATAAGAGTTTTATTCTGAATGTAAAAGAAAAAGTAATTTAAAAAATATATTTTAAGTGGCTTCTATCTTAAGAAGAGACAAAAGGTGAATCTACGCTACAATTTTTTTTAGACTTAATTCAGCACAAATTGATTTTAATACCGTCTTAACACTTATAAAGGTGAAGCTGACACTAAAGTGGCTATGGATGAACATACACACTGATAGACAAAATAGTAACAACAATAAAACCTATGAAAGAAAAATCAAACTTAAATACTACGCTTCAGATTATACAACTTCAGAAATGTGAGATATATATTTTAAATCACCATTTTAAGAAGTAACATTAAGTTTCCAAAAAAGATAAAAGGTTGGTTTATCTGATCTAAGTTTAAATTATATTATTTGCAGCATACCAAACCGTTTAGTTTTTGACGAAGCAAGATATTATGAAGCTGCAGTTTTTCTACTTCCTTCTGAAGACAAATCCTCTCATTCTTTAGCCTGCGAGAATTTTCTTTCTCAACACTTAAAGCCACGGCTAATGCTCTGTTATTTTGTTGTAAAGATACTTTCAACATAGATGAGTTATCTAAAGGAGACAAAAATGGTGTTATTTTCACCAGCTTCAATTCCAGGCCCTCTCTGTGTGAACTATCACTATGCAACAAATTTTTATCTGCAGGTTTTGATGCAACAGCAAAGCCGGACACTTTCCAGTGCAAAACTGTTTCTGTGGCTGTCAGTCTGATGGCTACTTTCTCTGTTTCATGTTCAAGCTTATTTCATGCACAGGTTCTGCTAAGGTTCTTTCAAGAAGAAAGCATTTAAAAATTGATAGCTTTAAATTCAAAATATACCTTTCACTATCCTAATGAAAACCTACCTACACACATCTGTTACAGAATGTTTAAGAACTTAATTTTTTTTTCCAATGGCACTGCATATTACCAAAATGTCGGGAGCTTTTCCCTCACATTCACAGTAGGCACATAGTTAACCTGAACTCAAAGCAGAGAAAAGTCTGACAATACTCTAAAAGAGCACAAAAAGGAGCGAGGCTAGTTTGAAAACTGCTCCTACTACAGCTCTTCATTGTCTTATGTTATTAGTTCTGTGATCTGTTATCCAAAATTTGCAAGGCCTTACTTCTTTGCCTTGGGAAACAGACAATAACAGTGCAAGCTTGTTATTCCAAACATTAGGCTTTGAAATTACTATTAATCTTACTGAATTATGAATTATTTGTATTCCTGCAGTGTGGAGATTTCTAAAGGACACTAGCATTATTCATCTATACAGTTTATTTTTCACTGAAAATTAGTATTTTTACATAAAGCCACAATAAGTTAAAATATATATACAAAAAGAACAAAAATATATAAATATATATATAGAAACAACAAAAAAATCTTCCTGCACCGCTCACAGAAAGAGGAGCAGAAGTCAACATTCACTGAACATGCTGCTTGAAACAGAGCTCTCAAATAACAGTGTTTCACTACATTTATAGTGTCCCAATCTTTTGCAGAAAAGTTTCTGAGATGTTCCATAGTGGTATTTTTGTCTGAGCCAGAAACAAACCCCAACCATTTACCACGGCAGACCTGTGTTTGAATGTAATGCTGACTAACTGGGAAAACAAAGTTTCCCAGTGATTAAGTGACAAGTGACTGAATCAGCAGATTAATATTTTCAGTTTTCTTGGATTCAGTAAGTTATATAAAATTATTCATTCAATAATTTTATATAAATCCCATTTTTGCAGATGGGAATACTAGGTGTTTTACCATGGCAACTACATATTAAAAGTTCATTGATTTTACTCATTTTGATTCCTCGGTTTTTAGATGCCCCAAGCATGGCTGTGGACATGGGTGTTGTAAATGCACTTGATTATACTCTTTACAAAAACACTAGCACAACAAGAAGCATGAACCCAAAATACTCTGAGAACTATATAAATAAATAACTTACAATCACATTTTAACTTTCAGACTCTCCTAAAATTCTCAACATAAGTTAGTATTTTTAACAGGCAGCATTTCAGCAAATCATGTTAAATACAACTACTATTCCTTTTAAAGCCATACATTCTAAGTACAGTAGATGGCTTCAGTTTTGTTTTAACAGTACTTACTCATCAACTTAGTTTTGATTTTAGAAGCTAAAGAAGCATTCAATTTTGCAGCTTGTAATGTTCCATCCCTCTTTTTCCTACGCCCTTTAATAGCATTCAAGGTGAACATGGCAGATGGCAATTTAGCAGTTGCTTCTTTATCCATCATCAAAATGAACCTGTACATAGTCAAGGGGAATGCCCAAATAAATAAATAAGTTATCTTTCTCACACTTCTTAAAATTAGGTTTCATTATCTCTTACAAGGATATAAGGTCTGAAATCGAAAAAAATTACTTCAGTCTTTACCTTTGTTCAAATAATTAAAACAGGTTAATGAATAAATCAACACATTGAAACATTAACACAGAGGCGAAATATTTTAACCTAAAATGATCCCACTTTTTTTTAGCTTGTCCATTCCCTCAAGTTAACTATCTAAGTTTGCATTTAAAAGATAAAACCCCTAAGGTTCTATTACTTCACAACACGACCAGAGCACCTTGTGCTTTGTCAGGACAGATTTTAAACTGACACAATTAAATAAACCGGATTATAAATGCCGTAAATTTAAGCAGAGAGAGAGAAAAAACGGCCGGCAAGCAGACGTAGGACAGGGGGCGGTGTCCCAGCCCAGCGCTCCGATGAGGCTCTAGCCGCCCTCACGGCCCCCTCAGCGCCCTCACGGCCCCCTCGCGGCCAAACGGCTGCCCGCGCGCGTGCGGCCGCGAGAGGCGGGGCCGTTGGGCCCGGCACGTGCGACGGCGCGCGGGGCGGGCGCTGCGGGTCCAGCCTGGGGCCTGAGGGGGCGTTCGGGACAACCTGCCCAGGGAGTCGCCAACACCCGAGGTGTGCTGCGGGATTCAAAGGGAAGATGCACAGCCGGGCCGGAACAGCTGGATATAAACCCCTCCCGTGTCGACAGCCTGGTTTATGCCACGGCCAACATCCATCTTTTTTGATGCTTGGTTGATAAAACAGGAAAGGCATTGTAGCGGTTTTGTTACATACATGCAGAATTACCTGTGTTAAAATAGTTCACATGTTCTTGTACTTACAGAGTCACAGAATATTTTGAGTTGGAAAGGACCCACGGGGATCATCCAGTCCAGCTCTTAATGAATAGCCCACATGGGGATCAAACCTGTGACCCTGACGTTATTTGAACCGTGCTCCAACCAACGGTCCAAGACACTCCAGAAGAAGGAGGTGCAGAAGTCATCAACCTTTAATCCACGGTTCCAGTTCTTTCATGCATCTCTGGGTGATTTAAAAAGGAGTGGGGTGTCTGTAACTTCACAACAATGTGCCTTTGCAAAACCATTTTAAATACTAACCATTAATAAAGCTAAAATTGAAAAAAAAATATTGATTGTATAAACACTTAGCATCAGTCTCAGTACACTGTGAGGAAGGAAGCAGGGAACTACAGGTATTCCACCTGGCTGACAGAGATTTTTAGGAAGAGTTTGATATGTTTGGCTTTCAGTTCAAAGACTTCATTTAGGTTAGAAGGAGAAATCCATGTAATTCCTTCTCAATGGAAAGTTAAATTTCTTCTAGCTGATTTTGAACTATTAGTAGTAGACGGAATGACAAACTGAATAGACAGGCATCAAGACAGTCATGAAGACAGAAATGACTAATTTAAAACCCAATAGATTCTATCAATGCATGCTGCCTGCACACATACATACTTGCAAGGGCAAGAGTCTGACAACAGAATTTGAGCAAGCCCACTTTTAATTTGGTTCAGGTAATACTAGAACTGTGAATTGCAAGGAAGTACTTTAGTCTAATTAAATGCTTTCCCCCAAAATCTCTTCTGAGCCCAAAAGCCCTTGCTCTTGAACACTCTCTTCACATACATTCCCTTTCACTGGCTATATGTGCCCAGTCCTATCATTCATGTGGACATTAATTCCTACATTTGATCCAGGAATCAGTGAATTTGGAGTAAACAGAGTTAGTGTTTTATTTGAAGATTTACAGAAATGCAGAAGGTTGAAATAAAAAACAGCATCAGGTTCTGTAGTCGAGTAATCATCATGAAAACCCTACCTTTCCATGTGCTAACATTACAATATGCTATAAAGTAAGTCAAAGGAATTGCACATGAAGTATCAGTAGCATTATGTGAAAATGGATCTTTATGAACTTATTACCTTCATAATCTGCTGCAAAGAGCATCTGGAGAGTCTCTCTTTTCTACCTTTTTTTTTTTGTTTATGATATATGGCACAGTTTCTCAGTGTGGCCCTGTAGCTGCAAACCCCTATGCTTCTAGGAAAAACCCTTAAAATACAGATTTGATCCAGCACACATTATATACCTTTGGTACATTTTCCCTTACAAGGAAACTTGGAAGTGACTGTAGCCACTGTAAAACTCTGGCCAAATAAAAGAGCAAATAACCTTATGTAACTTTAAAAATAGAAAACCAATCAAATACAGCTTACCTCCTTATCCTTTCCAGAAGGCAGGGTTTTCTTCCAGATCCAATAATGAGTTTGCATATCCTCCAGTTTCACAATGGTCTCAAGTCCTGAAGGGGCAATTGCCAATTTGCTTCCATTTAGTGTTTATGTCGCTACTGTGGGCAATAAATTTAAAACAAAACGTGAAGCATTGCATTTCCACCCATGGTCATACTTTCCTTTATCCACTGAGGAACTTCCACACTATGCCCCTTCACATGTAAAAATCTCCAGTTAATCGCCAGCTGCTCAAAGTTGGGAAGAACTTAAACCACTGCCAAGTTTCACAGTCTATATATCTTAAATGTGTATTAAGAGCAGAATTTTGTGTTTCAGTCATCCATCAGGGATCCTATGACTGGTCTTTAAACTGAATAGAAATGAAAAGGAGTGAGGGAAAGACACACAGACCTGTTGTAAAAGCTCTAATCATGTGGGATTTGAATTTGTACCTTACTAGATACCTGCATATTCATGTCTGAGAAGAATCTTCATTGAGGAATTAATCCTGTAGGGTGTAGTAAAGTGTGAGCTATGACTAAAGCACTTCTGGTGGGTAGATTATGTAGAACGACTTCTCCCTCTGTGGATTCTCTGATGTCCAACAAGACCTGAGCTCATGCTGTACCTCTTCCTGAAATTATGGGATTAAGAATTTATCTTTCTCTAATCACACCTTTTTTGCACAAGCTTAATGAAAAATCCATTTCTTAATGCCTCTTGCTCTCTGTCGAATTTGACTGCAATTAGTAAATTGAAACACAAATATACAGAGGATGAGTGTGTAAGCCTTGCTTCCTTGGGAAACTAGTGAAAACCAAAACAAAAACACCCGTGTTCATTTCCCAAAAGGTGCAGCTCAAAAGGCAGTTTGCTTGTGTGGGTTGGTTTTGCTTCAAGCTTCTATGCCAAGTACATGCTGTACTAAGCTTGAATAGTCATGATAGTTCACATGGTTAAATCTGAGGTCCAAAACCTATTGCATTGAGTATAGGTGTGTATATAAGTGTATTGAGTGAAACCGTGTACATTGTTCTGGTCTCACAGTGCAGAAATACATGAAGGAACATTTTTTCAGACTTCTGAGGCAAAACCAAGCCAGCTTCAAGGCAGAAAGCAGCATGAAAAGCTCCAGCTTCATTAAGTGAATGTTTCAGAGTGAGAAAGACTGGAAGTTACACAAACTACATTGCAACGTTTGATAAAAACGGCCATGTTGAAGTAGCAACTGGTATGTATGAACTATTCCCAGTGAGTAAGGGAAAACACACATTATTATCCTTACTAAAGACACAGTTAAACTAGATAGCATTACTCTACAAAAATAATCTATTATACTTGTTTTCACTTGTTTTATAGTAAGTTCAACACCCATGGATTATCAGTCTGTATTGCATTCAGTAGCATGTTGTAAATTGTGCGCTTATTTAATTAATTAGATATTAAGCATCAAAGACTTGGCTCCTGGGTACATTCTTGGCCAAGGACTGTTCAAGGAGCACATGAGAGCCATGGTGCTTGGCATGACATTTTATCTCTTTGCTGCAACAGTAGCATGTTTAGTTGCTAAGAAAAATTAGACGTGAGGTGTTTAGTGTGGCTTTAACTGCCATTCTAATGCAAACTGGCATTAAGATAAAAAGAAGTGAGTTTTAAGTAGAAGTGATCATTCAGAGTTACACAATTTCAAAGAGACTTTATTCTCTCCCTACGAGGACCAGATGCAATATGGTTTATATGGCTCTTTCCTTTAATGTTCTTCACTTGACTGAAGGGAAGTCTGAATTACAAGTTTGTGGACTCACATATTATCTGAAAACAGAGCAGCCTATGAATATCTAGGTATTCTCAAAAATCAAAATGTAACAGTAACAGACCAGAATATAGCAAGCAACAGAGTTGGAACTATAGCTGCTCTGTGTTACACATCCTTTGATTTCACCTCTTAGCAAGTGAACCCGTGGCTGAAGTTCTAAATACCTTAAATAGGCAACAAAATATCTCCAAAAGGAAATTATGACTTAAAAACTAGGATGATACAAGACAAAAATCAATAGGAATTGCAGATATAACTGAGTAAACTATTTAAATACAGTAAAGGCACATTTCTTATATGTGCAGTGTACACTTAAGTAAGTGATTTTATTGGACTTCAGGTAGCAATTAAAATATATTGGTAATATTTGGGATTCAGTTATATCTTATTATCTAAGAAATATTATATATAACATATAAAAATATTTTATATTATATATTCTAAGCATATAATCAGCTCATATTTTCCAGAAAGTTTGCAGAAAACCAAAGTTTTGCCCTGTTAACTGTTGCACACAACTACTAATTATTTGGCAGTTGTATCCACAGTGATAAGTTCTTACCGTAGGTTATGGCAAAAAGAAACTTTGTAAGCAAGTAAAGGAGAATTAAGTGGGAACTAGACACAACATTGTAAACTTTTTTTTTTAAATACAGCTGCATCTTATGATGTATGACACATGAACTACTTTTCATGTATGGAAATTTGCATAATAAAGTTGACACAAAAGCATAACAAGAATCTATTTTCTTTACCTTTCCGTTGTTTATGAATGCATTTTGATGACCACGCAACTCTATCTCAGATATAAGCAATTCAATGGGACACTCTTTGAAAGTCTTTGTGAAATGACTGTATGAGAGTGAGGCACCTTGCCTACATCACAGAATCATAAAATCACAGAGATATCAAGGTTATAAGAAACTTTCAAGATCACCTACCATCAACATAACACCACCATAATCACCCCTAAACTTTATCCCCAAGTGCCACATCCAGACACCTCTTGAACACTTCCAAAGGTGGTGACTGCACCACCTACCTGGGCTACTTATTCCAATGCCACTCTTTCAGTGAAATTTTGTTTTTCTAATATCTAATATGAACCTCCTCTGCCTCAACTTAAGGCCATTTTCTCTTGTCCTTTCACTTGAGACATGGCAGTGAAATAGCATTCATCTGTGCTATTTTAGTGCATAAGTGGTTCCCTCTGAAAAATGCATATAAATCTGAAGCAAAAAAACCCAAACAAACAAACAAACAACCCCCCCCCAAACCAACCAAAAAACAAACCAGAGAAAAAACATATTTTACATGTAAGCAACAGCAAAGCAAAATTAAAAGTTCTGACGTCTGCATTTATATATAATAGGTAGAACTAACAGACTGCTGCTGCCACACAGGTGAGTGAGCTGGTCTGTTCAGGGAGTCATGTCAAAGCAGGGCAGAAAACACCAGTTGACCTGAGGCTACTGTTTCCTGCCTTTCCCCCCTGCTTTAATAAAAGCAGACCTTTCCATCTTCAGACTGGGAGCACATACCAGCAGCACATCACCCTGGTGAAATCGCCTGTCTTGGTGCTGCAACTTGGGATGTGCAGCTGCAGAAGTAACTGGGCTCCAGCTTGGTCCGAAGCCACTGCCCTGGTCTGGGCTGGCCAGAGGGACTCCATCACACTGTGAAATAAAATGGGAGCATGGGGGGTACGAGACAGCTCAAGTTGCTCTCAGATCGAGAGCAGCCCTGCCAAGAAGGATCTGGGTGTGCTGGTGGATGAGAAGCTGGACATGACTTAGCAATGTGCTCTGGCAGCCCAGAAAGCCGACCATGTCCTGGGTGGCATTAAAGCAGTGTGGCCAGCAGGGCAAGGGAGGGGATTCTGCCCCTCTGCTCTGCTCTGGTGAGATCCCACCTGGAGTGCTGCATCCAGCTCTGGGGTCCCCAGTACAAGAAGGACATCGATCTGCTGGAGTGAGTCCAGAGGAGGACCACCAAGTTGATTAGAGGGATGGAGCACCTCTCCTATGAGGAAAGGCTGAGAGAACTGGGATTGTTCAGCCTGGAAAGGAGAAGGTTTCGAGGTGACCTAATTGCAGCCTTCCAGCACCTGAAGGGAACTTACAGAAAACATGGGGCAAGACTGTGTACGATATCATGCAGTGACAGGAGAATGGGTAATGGGTTCAAGCTGAAAGACAGTAGGTTTAGATTAGATATTAGGAAAAAATTTCTTTGCTGTGAGGGCAGTGAGGCACCGGAACAGGTTGCCCAGAGAGGCTTTGGATGCCCCATCATCCCAGGAGGTGTCCAAGGCCAGGCTGGACAGGGCTTTGAGCAACCTGGTCTAGTGGAAGGTGTCCCTGCCCACATTAGAGGGGTTGGAACTAAATGATCTTCAAAGTCCCTTCCAACCCAGGCCATTCTATGATTATTGGGATTATAAAACCAGCAACTGAATCAAACCCACTCCGAGTGAACACGTACTTGTAAAAAAAACCAAAAAAAACAAACCAAAACCAAAAAACCAACAAACCAAAAAAGCACGTTCTCGGAAGGGTTTGTGCCTTTCAGAGTAGCCGACTGTACGCAGGTCAGCCTCACCTCGGAGGACGCAGGTACCACAGCCGTACCGCAGGGAGTTCCTCCGGGCAGCGCCGGGGAGGCAGCGGCAGCCGAGCCCCAGGGCTCCCTGCACTCGGAGAACCCGCCGTACCCGCGGGCAGGGACCCTCGGGCGGCCGGCGGCGCGCCCGGAGATGGTGCTGGCGATGGCGCCGCAGGGGCGCACGGGCTGCCCCCCTGCGCTCCTCGCTCGGCCCCAGCCCGGCCCTCCCCGGCGCCATTTTGCGGAGCCGAGGCCCGTGAGGCGGCCCTGGCGCGGGAGGCGGCGGCGCAGGTAACGCGGGATGGCGGCGGGACCCCTGCCCAGGCAGAGCTGAACCATCCGGCCCGGCCCGACCCGAGCCCGGAGGGAGGGCGGGCGCGCGCCTCCCCTTTATGGCGGAGCAGCGCCCCACGAAAGGGAGGGAGGGAGCGAGCGGCCCAGCTGGTGAAAACAGCTTTAATTAGAGATCGGATTTTAAAGAAGCCGCGTTGTTATTAGTACAAAATTATTGCATTTGTAGTGCTGTGACCTATCCTCAAAACGAGATTTCCCAGGATGTCCTTCCAGTGCTCTGCTCACACATTCTGACCACGTAAATGTGCTTCCCCATTTGTCTCAAAAGAGTAACCTTTGTGTTTCCTAGCAAAGTAAAATGCCATCACTTTTTATAGTAAAGGTGTGGAATATTTCGCTATTTACACTAATACATCTCCAGAACTGTTTTCAAAGTGGTATCGTGTAAGATGTAAGAGCTGACCTAATGCTTAGGTCTCGTATGGGGTATGTTCAGTCTGTAACTGGCATTAGATTTACTTCTGTTTGTATCTGTTTCAGGCTTGAACAGCTCGTAATGAACATCATCATTGGCGAATGCAATGGCAGAGGGCAAGGTTGAAGATGTCCAGAGTGTTTTACGACTTAATGTGCGAGGATGTTTATACACAGCCAGGCGGGAGTCTTTGTGCCGCTTTAAGGACTCAATGCTGGCTTCTATGTTTAGTGGACGCTTTCCTCTAAAAGTGGATGAATCAGGTAAATATATCGAAGCTGTAAATACGACATTCTGACCAGGGAGCTCTGTGGCAAATACATCCTTATCCCAGTCCAAACTGTGGCTTCAGAATATACTTCTTCAGTATGAATATGAAAATAGAACAAATTGAAGTTGGCAGAGTATTTGGCATTTAACTCAGATCCTGTTTGTGAACCCCTATATTCTCCAGAGGCATCTCATTATCTCTGTTCATTACAGAAGGAGATTTGGGTCTAATCTTTGTTTCAGAACACTTCATTACCCAGTAAGGATTGCATTTTTCACCACCATGGCTTGATATGAAAGTTTGAATAAAACTATTCATGGGTCAAATTTCACACTTGTTTGTGACTTGGAAATCCTGCCAAAGTATGTCTGGTTTAAAGATACGATGGCTGAAGAATAGTAGTTCCTTGTTGTACACTTCGGACTGCTCAAAATATCTGAAATGTTTGACATTTGTATGGGCAGGACTTAGCCACCATCCTTCACAGCCACAGTGAACAGCCTGTTGTACATAGCCCTGTATGGATTGGTTGGTTTCTGTAGGGTCCTTGAGCCTGGCAGGCAAAGGAGAGAAAAAATACAATAAAACTTGACCAATATTCAAGGAAGGTTTGACTAGATATGTACTGGAGCTGATGCTATTTTAACTCTTTTAAATAGTCTAGGTCCAAAATTGAAAAGATCCCTGGAACAGTGAGTAAAGATGTACCTGCAGTTAGAATTAGAAATGTGTCTAGAATTAGATTTTAACATCTTAAGCAGAGTGCAGTACAGATGAGGTGGTATGTTGACATTGTTCTATGCAGATTAGTGATCTCACTGAAATTCCAAAGAAATGTTTTCTGCACTAAAAATTTTATCGTCAAATAACAAATATTCCAGGGAAACAAAATATAGTTTTAAAAGAACAGAGACAGTATACTTACTCCTCCTAAGTAAAACTAGCACACAAGTTTTATACAAAAGGCTTTACCTGATGATTTGGTAGAAAGTGACAAGTTTGTCTTCACTTGCTGGAAGCAGCATTCTAAATAATTTTATTTATGTTTTCAGGAGCTTGTCTAATTGATCGAGATGGAGGCCTGTTTAAGTATCTTTTGGATTATCTTCATGGAGAAGTTCGGATTCCTGGAGATGAACAAATTCGAATTGCACTGCAGGAAGAAGCAGATTATTTTGGAATCCCTTATCCATACAGCCTGTCTGACCATTTGGCCAATGAAATGGAGACATATTCTTCAAGGTCAAATATAGAGCTTAAAAAGGTCTTAACAATTCTTATATTTTTTGAGCTGTACTCTCTAATCTGCATCATTCATTAGCACCAGATACTAAAACTATAGTATGTGCAAGTTAGTGCTTCTTAATCACCACACTGAATCATGAGTAAATTCAGAATTTTAGCTTAAGCAATCCTGGATTTGATAATGCAGAGTA